GAAACTGCTACCTGTCTGTTATGGACCCTGGGATGTTCTCAAAGTGATAAGGGATGTCGATGGACCATCATACCGAACTCACGTACCCCCTCACCTGAAGACTTACCCAGTCTTTCACGCCTCTAAGTTGTTACCCAACGTTGAAGGACAAGAATTCCCCAACAGACCATCTTCATTTCCGCCTTCAATGGATGGTGGGTACCAGGTAGAGAAATAGTTGAACATGGGTTCTTCTCCATTGAAGGCAAAGGACAGCCTCAGAAGCAATACAAGGTAAAACTTTCTAACCAACCATTGACTGAAGCTCGCTGGTTTAGGAAAAGAGAGTTCTTACCTACTACCCCGACATCATTTCTGCATATGAGAGAAGTTTGAGAAAAGATAGTGCCTGAATTCTAAATGTCTGCGACAAAACTCGACAGGCATCAGCCACGCTCCAGGCTAGCACCTATGACCAGGCCCAGAAGCAGGCCAAACAGGGCAAAATGAAAAGGTCAGACCGACAGTTGATTGACAAGTCAACAGTCAACTCATGGACCCAGACCCAGATCCAAAATGTCAAAGTCAACACATAAGATTTTCTAGCCATCAATTGCGAATGGTCTAACAGTGGTCTGCAGATTCCAGAAGATTCAGGCCTCATGAAGTCTAGCCAGGAACTGGGACAAACTGCATTTGGACCGACGACATCTGGATGACCCAGGCCCTACTGTGACTGAAGCGGGCCTTGGTGACCCTGAGTCAATGCTATACAGAGTTGACCTCGCCACCACTTGGGCATTCGGTCTTGCGAGTTGCTCGCAGCTTCAATGCAGCACGTGAGACTTGAGAGATAAGTGTTGGCGCCACTCTGCTTCATGGGCGCCAGACGGATGGTGTGGTAGGAAAGGAGAGAAAGGTGCCGACGACCATTACTGCGGCCATTGACGACAGCGAGATGGTGAGGAGAGGGAGAGAGAGTGTGGGTGAGGAGTGAGGTCACATGTACGTACCTGGTCTCACTTCATGCTGCTGCGGACGACGTTCTTCGACAGAAGTGCGCTCTCCGAAGATAAGGCTGCATTCTCCACATGTCAGATTGTGATCAGACTGCTGATGTGTCCGAGGTGGAGGAGCCTGGTGGAGAAGAGGGATATGATTACTTCCTTCTCTTCTAATCTGTCTATCCTCCCCCATTCCTTGTCTCGTCTAGTCACTCTTGGATTGGGAAAAGTACACGTGGCAGCAGGAGATTGGGTGCTCCATTGTGTCCCCATCTCATTGATTATTTGGGGGCAATTATCACACGACATTGCTATTTATCGATTTGCTGTATTGCTGGACAGGCGTGATTGGGTTCATTACAATTGGAGTTCTCAGCGCTTTCAGAGACCTTCAATTGTGGCCTGTAGAATTTTGCTCAGGCTTGCCTTCTACAAAGCTCGAGCTATGACGAGTTTTCGACACTCCACGTATGTGAGTCTTCCTGGCCACTGCAAGCAGATCAATTGGCTTTCTGATTTACAGTGGCACCAACGCGATTGGTTTAAAAATGCAAGTACCCTACAACACGGTCTGAACTTTTGCAGGTTCTTTAACATTGTGATTACGATGCATTCATCCCAGATTACTCTAGATTTTGTAGATTAAAAATTCAAATCTTTCAATAGTACGATATTCATGACAGGATAGATCCTTTCCCAAGGTTCTCCTCTGGCAGCATTTCTTCTGGATCGGCCCTGTATATTTAATGTCTCACGAACTGAAGAGACACCGTGTGATGTACTCTGTTTTCAGACATTGAGTGTGAGTTCGACATCGAGTTGCTCCCGGCACTCTTCTCTTAGTGGATGTCATCGTACGAGTCTTTCTGCATCGGAGTCTGGTTGTGAGTTCACTCCCTCTCACACCTCCTCGCCCTCCTCGAACCCAGTGCTCGTCACACAGCCCATTTCAAAAAAATCATGGGTTCATCAAATCAAAGGCAGGGTCGCACTTTCTTTTTTTGGGGGGGGGGAGGGGGTCGCACTTTTTTGGGGCCCATGAAAAAAATGACAGTTCGATCTCTTCTGCTTCCTTCAGTTGGGCACAGCCATCCCATTGCCGCGGCTGCTGCTTTCAGTTGGGCCATCTTTTTCATTTCAAGTTTTACAATACCAGCTCATTACAGGGGCCCATAGGGCGCCAATGTTTTGGGATTGTGGCAATTCTAAATAGCAGGGGCAACGCGCTTTCAGCATTATCGTTTTCATTTTGGACAGCGGAGCTCAGCCCAAACTGCAGCAAGCTTCTCGGCAAGGTCTGGTTGTGCCATAGGCATGAGATTTCGCTGCCAGGCGCTCTGGAAACCTCACAGGCACGCCCTGTGGGGATTTCCCATTGCCTGCACTGGCAAGATGGCAAACGGGATCCAACAGCCCTCGGCAGTTTCTGCTTTTCCCTGTGAGAAAACACCTCCCAGCACTACTGCGAAAGGAAAGAAACCATTTGAATTGTGAAGAAACTGGTCCGTCCCGGTAATCCTTTGCGACACTCTGCACTGGCTGTCAACGCACCCGAGTTTCCAAGGCTTTCCGGCCACGCCCTGCAGGGATTTCCCATTGCCTGAACTGGAAGATGGCAAAGAGGATCCAACAGTGCCCAGCAGTTTCTGCTTTTCCAGAGGATGTACTTTCCATGTGAGGAAAGCACCTCCCAGCGCTACAGCGAAAGGAAACACACCAGTTGCATCTTGAAGAAACCGGTCCATCTGTGTGGTGCCTTGCGAAACTCCGCACAGGGCGCCAATGGCAATCCCCCTTCCCCCCCCTGCCCCTCCAGCTGGCCACCAATACTGGAGCCAATCATCTGCGAGGACAACAATGTCAAAACACCACCCCTTTTCTTTCATCTCCTGGCTGGCAGCGCTTGCCTGTTGGGTCTTGGAAAAGTTCCCGCCTGCCTTTCAAAACAACTTTCCGCACACAGTTCCACAAGTTGCACCCCACCAGTGGAATCTAGACCCAAGTCTCTCTCCACTACACAATTTTTGAAATGTCTCTGGGCCGTTCGTGATGCAGATACGTCCCAACTGATGAAACATTTTGATCGTATATTTGGAATGTTGTGGGCAAAGTCTGCCCAGCAGCTGTTCAATTCGGCCGGTGCCAGAACTGCCTCGCTTTTCCTTTCGCAATTTCCGTGGCGGCCGTTCACCAACTTCGACATCGTAGACCAAAAGCGGAAAATGCACTTCCACAGTGTCTGAGGCGCGGCCATTCACCTTCTTTGAAACTGCAGGTCAAAATTGGAAACTGCGCTGCTTATCTGGCGACGGGTTTCAAACGAGGGAAGAGTCCGGTTGCGGTGACCTGCAGCCCGCGGGACTGGAGGAACTCTAATGAGGAAGACAGAGACAACACATAGATAGATGAGGGAGCAGGAGGATGAAAGAGGAGGGGGGCGGGGCAGACAGGGGCACCTGCACGTGCATGGGTGGTCCGTATTTCCACTGAGCTTCATTTTTTCTGCAGTCCTTCCAAATCAGTTGATTGTTGGTCAGTACAGGGGCACGTGGACGAGTATGGGTGGTCGGCATTTCCACCGAGCTTCATTTTTTCTCCAGTCCTTCCAAATCAGTTGATTGTTGTTCAGTTCTGCCACCAGCTTATCCAGTCCCAGCCATTCATCCTGATTCCACCGCCAGCTGTTAAACCTGGCCTGGGCTGAATGGTGCGCACACATGATTGTTCATTAATAGATCACAAAAAACTTCAAATCCTGCATACGGATGCAACAATGCTAGGCGCCAACCCCCTTTGAACCACCGGTCCACCGGCAAGCAAGCAATGCTACCACCTGTGCATGCGTTGACCGTCATTATCCGAATCACGACAGATGGAGCCTGGAGCCACTCTTTTCCGCGATCACGATGGTTGGAGCCTGGTGCCAGCCGTTTCTCTCGAGGGCCTCCAGCCAGCTTCCGGTGAAGTTCTGAATGTCCCGTGTAGGTGGAAAATGAGGTCCACAAAATAGGTTTGGATGGCCTAAAATCATTCCAATGGCTGCTAATGTTGCCACGTTGGGCGCAGCTTGAAAAGCGTCTACAAGTTTGAACTACGACATTGTTCAGAACATGTCTAAAACAATACCTTACCTTATCCCAAGAGGCTCGACTCTTGCAAGACCGGACGAAGGCCTCTAGCGAGCCTCTGGAGGCTCGCCGCAGAGTGGAAACAAATATAGGAAACACAGCATGGTATACCGAAAAAGGAAAGAAGGGGCCACTGTCAAGGATTATAACAACGACCATCCAAGCAAGCCCTTCCAGAACCGGAGACTTTGGACCTCGTTCCGCTACTTGCATGCAAGTAATGGTGAGTGTATCTTTCCTGTTTTCATGGACAAATGCACTCAGCTGTGAAAACTTTTCATTGTATTTTTCCAGTTCTAACGGAAGGATACACTTGCCACTCACAACATTTAGCAGCAAGTGGCAGAGCGAAGCCCTTTCACAAAGACAAGCATGACTATGGGGGAGGGTATCAGGATAAACCTGTCTCTTATACACATCTAGATGTGTATAAGAGACAGAGACAGCATCGGGCATATGCGAGTGAAGAGGTTAGGCATGGGGGTGAGTGTATCTTTCCTGTTTTCATGGACAAATGCACTCAGCTGTGAAAACTTTTCATTGTATTTTTCCAGTTCTAACGGAAGGATACACTTGCCACTCACAACATTTAGCAGCAAGTGGCAGAGCGAAGCCCTTTCACAAAGACAAGCATGACTATGGGGGAGGGTATCAGGATAAACAGCTGCAGGAACCAGGCAGACTGTGCCACCCATCTATCAGACACTACATCCAGGGAAACAATGTGGCAAAGAAGGTGCTGAAAGACAGCATCGGGCATATGCGAGTGAAGAGGTTAGGCGTGGGGGTCCGCAATACAATAAATAAATGCTAATGATCGCCCGAGCAATAAAGCTGGAGAAGCAAAACAAAAAGAACGCATTGCATCACATGCATAAGGGTTGCTTACCTCAATCGAGTCTGTGAAGAGCGGGAGAGCTGTAAACAAGCGTGATTCATGCATTCCCAACTCATACTCTGTTTCGGCATTCTGGCTGACAAAAATGATAACAACTGCAGCATAGATCGTGACAAACAAACAAGCACATAGTGCACAAAACCTTAGATTCATAGCATGCAACCATACAGTACACACACGGCTTTGATAAAGAAATAAGAATGACAGACACCCCACCTCCCCCAGGCGCCCCGAAGGAAAAAGGGAAAGAAAAGACGAAAAAAGAAGGCCAGAGCACCATCCTTGACCCACCAGCAGGACCCCCCTCCTCCAAAACGTCCGGGGATATACAAGGACACCGTGCCTGGCAGAGGGATCGGGCAAATCACCGGGACACTACACATTTAGGTGTGGCAATTAGGGTCCCCCAGACCGGCGGCTCGTTTAGGTGAGTAAGGGTCACCTCCCTATAAAACTGTCTATCCTTCAGCTTCCTTCAAAAAGTGCAGCTTCTGGAGAAGAGAATGAACTGTAGAAAGAGGAGGCCCTATATGCATAAGCACCAGTGCAAAAAGAGAAAAGAAGAAGAAACAGGCCACTTCAGATTCCAAACCGATTGGGGCTTCACTCTCACCCCATCCCACTCAGCCTATTGTTTAGGTGTTTGCCTGACAAGCCGTTGGTTGTGTTCAATTCTCGGATAGAACATGCGCTTCCGATTCCAAACCGATTGCAAAGGACGAAGTGCGATTTGCTCTTTACAACCGTATGGACGCACTAGAAGCACTGCTACAATCACAGTGGGCATCATGAGCATTCTTTTCCTGTAAAAAGATGCTCATTGTAAATTGACAACTTTTCTTCATTACGCGTTGACCCACCAACGCATTTCCTTCGTTCAGTGTGTTACGTCCACCAAAACAATAGGAAAGTTCGACGTGGCTGCCGTTGCTTTGTCACTGAAGGACAGAATTCCACACCCGGTCATTATAGCTGTATTTGGGCCAATTTTCAGACTAGATGCAACGATAATGAACTGGAACTGGAGTTCTGTTTTGGGCAAGGACAAGGTAGGGGCTATATAGTGACTCCATTATAACTTCAGTGACTTTCCGTTTTTTAATAACCAGCCTCGATCTCACTAGAGAGGGTGGTAAGAGTTTAATAACCATCCTCGACCTCACTAGAGAGGGTGGTAAGAGTGCCCCCCTCTAGTTTGCCCTCGCTGGTTGCTCCAATCTATTGGCAAGGAGCCACCCCTGCTGGAAACCGGGTCCAGCGTCCTATATTTGGGGCAATTTCAGACTAGATGCAATGATAATGACCTAGCGTTCTGTTCGGGTGAGGACGCGGTAGGGGCTATATAGTGACTCAATTGGGGCTAATAGACGCTAGTGTATATTGGTAGATCATTGATGCTGATCCAAAAGAACAGATTTTGGGCAAATCATAAAGAACTCCTTTAATCCCTAAAGCTGCACTACCTCCTGACAGATCAGGTCGAGTCCTGAAACAGAAAGAGAACCTGTGTCCATCGGATCTTCGTACAAATCGACCAAATGGAAAACCGCTTTAAAAGGGAGGCTGAGGGAGTGGTGATTTACAGTGAAGGCTGAGTCCCTCTTTTTTTTTTTTTTTTTTNTTTCTTTCTTTTTTTTTTTTTTTGACAAAACATATGTGGCAGCCTGCTATTGGAGGTGATACGAGCATCGTCCAATAGCAAGCCCCAGGTTATAGATGGCTCCGATCTATTGGTGGGGAGCATCACGTACTGGAAACCGGGTCCAGCGTCCCTCTTTTGTTTTTTTTTTGTTTTTGTTTTTGACAAAACATCTGTGGCAGCCTGCTATTGGAGGCGATAAGAGCATCCTCCAATAGCCAGCCCCAGTTTATAGATGGCTCCAATCTTTTGGTGGGGAGCATCACGTGCTGGAAACCGGGTCCAGCGTCCCACTGACAAGATCAGAGAAAGTATACCTGGCAGAACAGCATTGACTGCCCTCTCACGACGGAATTGACAGTCCGCCTAATTAGCAGCCAGGTCACAGCATGTGTTAAGGTCTCGCCATGTAGAGGGTGACAAACTGTCTTCCAATCTCCCCTAATCCTTCAACCCTAGGCCCCCTCCCTGCATAAGGCTGCTGCTCAGCTCTGTGATTTACATTCTCCACAAGGTCATCTGCCTACCCTCCCTTACCCTAAGCTGTTCACCCTGCGAAAACATTCGTATATGATTGTTATTGTCAAATTTCTGGCAGCGGTTAAACTCCCGACATATATCATTATTATTGTCAATCATCTGTCATGATTTATCAGATCAACTGGCATGCTCTTCCCCGTGCCATTTCGCCAAGCAGAGATCTGAGCATCCCCTATTGACTATCCTATCTCCTACCCTCCACCTATCCACCACCCACTCAACTAGCCTTCCTCTCGCGCATCTCCATCTTGCCACCCATCCAGTGCCAGACCACGGAATATGACAGGCGAGGCAGGCAACAGAGAGCGAAAACAGGGGGAAACTACAGATGAAGGAGAGGCCCAGGCAGGTAATGTTTACTCAAGAGTGAAGCAATCAAAACACATCCCAAACCCACCGAACCCACCCTTCCCCCCGGTCAACTGCCTGAGCCCCCGTTATGAAGTGGTGCATGCCATTCATATGAAAAGAATCGAGCTCCAGTGCTCCCCTCTTGTATCCTGACCACGGTGCAAAGGGGAAACTACCGCTCGCCCCGACCATGGCAAAGCTTTGGGCATGCTTCTGACCGCCGTTTTCATTCCCCGTGGTTGTACCGTGCCGAAGCTCATTGATTTTAACCTCTGGGGGAGGATGCTCCACTTTTGTAGCATCAAAAAAAGCCGTGTCCTCGTCCCCATGGTATGGTAATTCATCACACATGGTGTCGTTGCCAGCATCAGACGGCTGGGTAGATGACAAATCAATTAAAAAAAAAACTTCCAGACCAAGCGGGGAAACCGCATCACCTACCTTCGGCGAAGCCCCGTTGCTCCCTGTAGCATCAAGCAATGATGATGATGCCGTTTGATCTTCAGCAGACTGTTGGCAAGATAGTGAAACGGAACTCAAAAAAAAAACAGTAGCAGGCGCCCGGATCGCTGCTCCCACGTCCGTCGAATCTCCATTGTTCACTACAACAGACCGAGGCTGATAGTCCTCGAATGATGCTGACACCATGTGATCATCACCCAATTCTTCACACGCATGAGCAACTGGCTGCTGTTGCTGGACACAGAGTGGAGTAATTGGTGATGTCACTATTGTTCGTGTTGGTGTTGTTATTGTCGATGTTGCTCGTGTTGCCGATGTTGATGTTGTTGATGTTGTTGATGTTGTTGATGTTGTTGATGTTGTTGATGTTGTTGATGTTGTTGATGTTGTTGATGCTGTGTGTGTCACGCTATGCTGGCCTTTGGATGAGAACAACTCACCTGGTGGACCGCCCACGGCTGATGGCAGGTGGTTTTGGGAAAGATTTGGTGTTTCAAATCCTGAATGGGTGGTACAGTGATGTAGCTATTGATAAACAGGGCATGTCTGCGAATCTGGAATGGGCCACACGTCCTTGCTCATAAACAGGGCATGACTTGTACCTGCTGATGAACAGGACATGAATTCAGATCCTCACTGGTACACATGTAGCTCTTGAAAAACTGCTCACGACTTGAAATCCTGATGACTGACACAGCAATTGCTGTACGCCGACCCCCCCACACACAGCTCTTTCTACCCTCTAACCCGTGGCATAGCCACAGCTGACCTCCGCTCATAATGAAAAAGAAAGAGAAAAAGTGCAACCAGACTCGTCTTCTTCCTTACTCAGCATGCATGAAAACAGATGGTAATCACACTGGCGCCAGGCGCACACACAAAGCTCAGAGATATCGTGGCCAAGAACACAGTTCAGATTCAAACTTGCTTCCAATAGCTATGGGGCCTGTGCGCCCACATACCACCCAGCCAACACTGTATCCCCAGCAACTGTTCACACGCACGCTACTCTGGATCTCCCTGGATGTCCCACACACACGCACTTCAACACAGCACTTCCCACACATACACGCTACAGCCTACCTCTAACCTATGGCAGCTATGGCTGCCTTCTACCTCCTAGCTACTAGCGGCTATGGCCGCTTCATCTCCCTCGAAGCCCACTTCTCCTTCGGGCACCTGCCAACCACCTTGCACAAGACGCTCAGGCAGCACTTCCACACGGCTCACAGGCAGAATGAATGAATGACTGGACGCTGCCTCTTGATTTATACTTCGAATGGCCCCTGGTCTGCTCTTTTCCACTGGGCCCAGGGCGCACAGTCCCACATGGTACTTGCTAACTAGACAAAGTGCGACTGGGACTGGGTACCACTGACTAGGCAAGGTTGGACTACCCACTTGCCCACTTGCCTCTAGACCGACCTTCAGAACACTTCAAAAGGCCACTTCCAGACCTTCCGGAAGTCTGTAGACATGGCCTTTCGTGACTGTAGCAGCTACGCCCTTGACCTTTCAGGACTGTAGCAGCTACAACTTTCACACAGCTAAATCCCCTACTTGACAGACCTGCAGATAAAGACCCGACGACCACACTAGCCTACAACAGACAACAAGTGACTACCAAGACACAGGTCGCGGGTTCAAACACACAGGGGTCGACTTGATACTGTACACGGGTGAGGGCAAGGTCTAGGGATCGAGCCCTGGGATCTGCATCTGCTACCGTAAAGGTAAAAACCGTTTTACTCCCACCAACCTAAATTTGAGGTCCTCCGAGAATATTTCAGTCCAAGATAGGACCTTTACCTTTCTCTCTCATGTCGGGATCAGTCTCTAGAAGTTCCGTTCGGGTAAACCAGCGGTCGTTCTCCGGTTCTTGATACGCAAATCCGACTTTATACTGTTTCTTCGGATGACCTCTTCTTCCAGTTCTAAATACATCTTCATCTATAATACGGTCAATGTCATACCTACCGTCCATGTCAGGAGGAATCATCGATCTCCTCGACAGGGAATTGTTGACTTGTTGTGCAAGGTAACAACTTTGACACGTGGAAAACTGGTTAAGTATGGAGGTGTGCTGGAATCTCTACGGTATAGAACAGCCCATCC